AATGTAAAACAAAGCGTCCAATCAACGGTGAGACGAAGACGCTTTGTAAGCAGTGGAAAAAGAGATGGGAGTCGGAATGTACTCTCTACTACTTGTGTCACCAAAGTAAACCCATTGTCAGATTTAATTGGATAAAGATCTCGGAAACGATAAGAGGAGTCTTAGGGTCGAGAATCGCGCGGTCTGCACGCGGAATATCAAACCAATTCGTATCGATTGTCTGCCGGCGACTTGCGCCCTTATTGAAATGGATTAAGCTCTAATCACCCAGCGGTACTTGATTGATTAGAAGATAAATTCATTTGAGTGTCGCACGGGTGGTAGCCCTGTTTGAAGAACAAACTGCCAGCAATCGCGACCGCTGACAATCAGACTGCGCTCAGCGATTCTTTTCCTATTATGTTTCGCTCGCCGAGTCTATACAAGGGACCAATTCTGCATTCTGCATGCATTCAATCTAATCAACCATCTCATGTAATTAACTTTAAATTACTTATCGCAAGATATTCATTGTTACAACCACATAAATACGACACCACTACGTATACCTATCAGCCTTCAACATATATGGATTTATAACACTCCTCAAACAGATTTTATATTTACTTAGTTCAGGGCATGACATTTTATTATACAGTTTTTTAAACTATTCCACAACAGCCTTAAAATATTTGTTTAGACAATAGTTACACAGTAAAAAAATAGATTTCATGTTAATCCAGGTCCACATAACTTTCTGTTAAGTTTACAACCAACTAATTGAATAAGTAGTTTGTAATTATAACAAACATTTTGTAGATTTAATAACAAAATCCAATATCAATAATTTAACCATAATTCTTGTAATTTTCAAAAAGGACCTTATTTTTACAAACCTTTTTGTAGACCCATTAACAAAAGTATTTGTTGGAAATTGGGAACTTAAACGAAAAGAATTTTGATAAAAAATGTTGCAATTTTCCTACAACACTTACTGTTGTATTTCGTAACTTTAACCCACTTCATTGTATCCGTTAATTTCAGTTTGAAAATCAGTGATGTCATCTTTTTTCGGATACTTTGTACTTTCCACCCTCGTAATATAGGTACAAGAAATCCAAATAACAGTAATAGCAGATTTTTGGATTGCGGAAAGGTACCTATGGTTAGAAATCAAGTTTTCGAGAAAGCAGCGTCGCGTTTGTATTTGCGCTTCAACCTCTTCTTTTTTCGTCTTACCCTTGGCTCCCCACCTCTCTTTAGACTTCCACTATAAAGTGGTGCTTTTTCAATAAATATTTTTGTACCTTATTCAATTTTTGATTTTTATAATTCATGTTGAACTTTAAGGATGATTTCCAGCAAAAGTTTCAAACTTAGGAGTCTGCGGTTTGTTCCATTGAAAAATACGTTCAAGTTTCTATAAATTTCGATCAAAAAACAAAAATTGATTCTTCCGACCATAGGTATCTTTCTATAGTTCAGATCACATATTTAATAAATAAATATAACGGAAATAAATTCATATATGATCAAGCTCATTATATATATTATAATGTATACATTTGAAAAAAAAATTGCCAGTTTTTGCTAAATCAACCGAAGGTATTGCATCATTTTTTGTCTTACACTTATTTGTAGTCAATTTCAATAGTTTTTCTCAATCACAAAAATCCTTGTCAAAAAAATGTTTGGAACATATTCTAGCATGCAAGTGCACTTTTTATATTAAAATTATGCTTTTAATAGCATTTTTGCTCCCCGACCTACAAATTTCTTTATCAGTTGAAAAACTAAAATATCGACAACTGGGTGAAAAATTTTTACTTTTTTTATTGTTGTTACTGGTACAACCAGTTATAGCACAGTAAACCATTGTGTTAAAAAACACCAAAAAATACACGAAAAAAATACAAATAACTTAAATAACACATATAATAACACTGTTTGCAAAGAAACTGAATGCAAACTCATGCAGCGACAACGTACTTTTGTCACACGATGACGTCATAGAAAGAAAAAGACGTGAACACGTGAACATTGTTTTCTTAGTACCTTGCATATTGTCAGTGGGAAATGTTTTGATTGGCTGCCTGAAATCACGTGTACTTTTTCAACCAAATAATTTGTTAAACATTAACAAAATAATCTAACCTTTGGAATTAACAACATGCTTAGAAATTGCATATTACTTTTATAAAATAAAATTAACAAACTACAAACTCATGTTAACAAATTTGATTTTTAGAACAGTGTAGAGTCAAAGTTTTGGTGTGAACTGAAGACGATCGATACGTTGTGTATCAAATAAAATCAAGACAATGGAAATCCGAAACTTTGAGTTTAAAGCAAGCTTCCCATTGTCTACCACATTCGAGCAAAACAGTGTTGGGACGGTTTGAAGACAGTCTACGTCCATTTCCATCGAGTTGAAGCATAAAATTTGAGACAGTGTTAAGAACATTAATATCCATTGAGACTTGTTTATGATGTCAGGCTCGTAGCAACTTATTTACCATAATTTAATTCTTAAAATTGCGCAGAACGGGATGATTTATGCGTGGTGTATGCGCCTTAGCTCGAGGATGTATTACCTGTATGTTGTGGTGTGTGGAAGTTATTTTGGCTTGAAATACGAGTAGTGTTTGCAGTTGCAGGCTTCGTAACATATAAGTTAATTGCTTAACAAGTACATGCCAGCGATTTTCCCACTTGCTCGCCAAATTTATTGCGAGAAATCAAAAACATGTAATAACAGTTCGCCGGGCGTACACATAAACGTTGAGATATATCAACGGAACAGCTACCTGAGCATATTATTACTCATTCCGTTTAGATTTATCATTTTTTCATTTGTATGCCAATAAGACGGCCGAAGCAGCCGAGCCGCGTACTCCAAGAACTCATAAATAAAGACAATGTACTCCAGCGCCAAGGAATAATTAATTTTTTTCACATGCCCACACTGTTTTACGCTTTTATTTATTGCTAAAAGCACCGTCCTCGCCAAATTAAATGAACACAACGTATTAACAAACATCGCGAGATTTAACAAGAAACCTAATTGAAAATCTCACCACACCCGAATAAATCTCATCGAGTCCTAAGACTCGACCGCCTTCATCATTTACGTAATGTCTCTACAACTGCACAATCCCAAAATTACTGTATAAACGTTATCTCCGACATCGGAACTATTCTTCAAAACCTCTCACCGAACAAAAAGGACATTTTGCATAGAATACCTTCGCTTTATCGGTGCCGCGCAACAGTAAGGACGCTCAACAATCGATCCAGAAAAGAATGTCACATGACGAGCACTTATCCACGCTTCAGTTAACCGCGCGGTTATTCTCTAAAAAAACGCCGAATTCAATGAGATTAATCAGTGCGGCCGGTAAACAAAAAGAATCCCGATTATGTCAAAAAGCTTTTACCTACGACAATGGGGTTTTTCTCTACGAACAAACGTGTGTCAGTGGATCTTAAGTGGTTTATTGTAAACTTTAAACGATATGCCATTCCGAAAGCATCTCCCTTTTTTAGTTTCAGTCTCCATGGCGATTCTCCATATCATTCCTACGTTGCCAAGGTATCAATCAGATTAACGTCAAATTTGTTTTTATTCGATAGCTGGTACTAATCGTATTTCATATGCTTTTGTGCCACTTGACAGACATCACGCAAGAGGATTAACTGAATTCAAATTAGATACCGTGCATAAATGCTGAATGTTTCTCAACTTAAATCCTTACAACCAAAAAAATAACTACAAGGTTTAACACTCTGTATATTTTATATGCTTTTAAAACTTTTTAATTTTCCTCAACATGCATAGTAACGTCGCACCAGGCACCAACAGACGGCCTGTTTGGGAATTTGGTCCTCATTAGTGCTGGGTATCGCAAAGCAAAAAGCAGAGTATAATTTTTTCTAAACACATACATGGCCACGTCTGGTGGACGGTAGACGTCGCACAGAGGTATTTTGACCTAAAACGTGGCCAAACGTAGCTGCATATTTTACTTGTAAGTGATAGGTATTTTTACTAGAAATAAAAAAAATATATGTATTAGACAATTTATTTACAAAAATTACAAAGTAGCTGCTTACATGTAAGTAATACAATAAAAATATTAAAATTAAACATATATTAAATATTTTGTGCCCTATAACAAATAAAAAATATATCCATCTATACCTACATATATAGGTAGATATACCTAAAAATCTTATAAGATGGCACTAAAGTGTCTGTTTTCAAGGGTAAATTTTTCCGTGAGAAAACTTGATGGCTACAGTTATTTAAGATGTCCTGAAGTTTAATAAAACGTGGGTCGGATGCCATTGCGAGGCGTTGCATATATTTAAAAATACAAATGCTTGTTTAAAAAGACGAAAAATATTTTTAGTTAAATGGATAATGAATAAATAATGTTTATTAACACAAATAAAATATTGCTTAAAATATTGTACATACCTTGATTGATAATATCCATATCAACTTTTTCCACCAAAATCACTTTTAACATAAGAAACAACACGGCGAAAATTTGTGTTTTTGTGGAGTGTCGCGAACGAAGAAGTACGATTTAAAGAAGCGCTGTTGGTACCACTGACTGAGATGGCCAATTCAGGTAGCAATTACACCAAAAGATAACCATGTTATCTATCTGCTTTGATACGCAATCTTAGATCTAATAAAAATTAACAAAATTGAGTTTTTAGCGTCACCCGGCACTGATGAGGACCAATAGTCCGAAACAGGCTGTCTTACTGTCATTACTCCTCTAGTAGAAAACCATTTTGACGTTTTAATCAATCAATTAATCTAAATTCTGTAGTCAACTTAATAATGCATTTATGTATGATATCATAATTTAGGTTGGTTGTATAAAAATTTTAATTACCCACTTTTTAATGACCATTTTGGGACAATTTAATCTTGTGGCATCCTTTCTGGGTAGTTATTAGTGGCAAAGTTTTTTTGTGCGGACTAAATGGTATTTTTTCTTTTTCAGAGTTTGCAAAGTGCTGCGCGAAGGGCCGGAACGAGTTGTGCAAACTGTAAAACAACGACGACAACATTGTGGAGACGAAACCAAAACGGAGAGCCTGTGTGCAACGCATGCGGACTTTACTATAAACTACACAATGTGAGTATATATATTTCGTGTCTCCCCGTTTGCTGTGTGTGCTGCCTTTACCGTATTATGCTGATGTTCTCACACATACATACTATTCACGTGCTTCTTTACAGCGAAGCCAAAAAAAACAACGTCTTTGCGCGCGGAACACCGGGCATAAAGTATCCTTGAGTCTCAATGGTTGGAATTCGCTTCAAAAATAACTGGTTTATTGGCGATAACATTTCTGCTCTTTCTCTACAAGAGAAGAAATCTAGGCAAAATGAACGTCTTTACCAATTACACGTCTGTTTTATGCTAATGCCTCGCCCCGCACACACGATTATTTAAATTTTTCCAACGCTAATGAAATAATTATCCCAGGCAACGACTTCGTTACACCATTCTGCAGCTGTTCTTCACAGAAAGAATAGCAAAATGTGAGATACTAGAATGTCCAAAAAACTGTCAAAATACTGGTTTAAAATGTTTCTAAAGTCAACTGTACTGTCCATATCTTCTTCCTTTTCTTATAACTCCTTAGGAAGAAAAGAGCACCTGTTGTTTCTAAAGCTTAAGGAAAAAATTTGGGAGTATAGCTTGTTCTAAGCATCGCCATTACATTCTCTCCATTAATTTTTTCCATTTTTGTCGGTCCTTGCTATGTTCTTTGCTTATGTCCATGTTTAACCTTGTTTTTGAAGTTCTTCAATAACTGTTGTTCTCTTTGTGTTATTAGGTCTGGCTATTCGTCGTTTTTGTTGTTTTTTCTTGATGTGTGTCTTATCCATTTCCAACCTACTATGTTTCTGGGCTGGAAGTATCTTGAAAAAAAAGATTCTTGAAAGTACCTATCTAAGATACTTTATCGTAGATACTTTTTATATTGGACAGAAAGTATCTTTAAAGTTGGAAAAGTATCTTGTAACTTGTATTTAAAAAAGTATCTAAGTTACTTGGTAAAGTAACTAAGATACATTCAAGTAACTTAGATACTTTCTTGGAGAAAATTGGGGGAATTCCAGAATGATTCAAAGTAATTACCTAACCTACAACTTGTTGAATTTTTATAATCTTACAGTTTTTATTCATACTTAAAAGTAACTTAGTTATTTAAAAGTATCTTAGTTACTCAAAACTTTCTTAGATACTTTCATATAGTATCTTAGATACTTTGGGATAGTATGTTAGATACTTTCCAAAGTATCTTGCAACTAAAGATACTTTCAACTCAAAGTATCTAGTTACCAGAGGTAACTAAGTTATTTTGTTTAAAGTATCTTGGAAAAATAACTAGATACTTTTCAGAATTAACTTTCCCAGCTCTGCATAAGAATACTTTTAACATTTGATCTGAATATTCTAATCTTGTTTTTTTTTCTATATAGGATTGATAATATAATAAGTCATCATTGATGAACATATTTTATTTAGCATTTTAAAGGATTTCTGTGCCTACTTGATATATCCTTTTTTGTTTCACCTTTTAAGCCAACTATAGTTGGTATATATACTTTCAAAGTAACAAAACTCCCTTACTACTTTTATTTATTCATTGCCCAATTTTATAATATCTTTGGTTTCTTTATTTGTTAGCACTTTTGGTGTTTTTTTGTGTTAATTTGTTGTTCATAGTCTTCATGTCTTCTAATTTTTTAAAGATTCCGACTGCCCAAATACAAATTTTTCTAGATTCTAAATTAACAAAATATAAGACTTTTTCTTGGTGTTAAATTGTTGGTGCAAATAGCAGTGTTAGTAGTGCGTCGTGCCCGGAGCCGAATGTCTCCGTTCCATCCAGTATATCATACCGGTCCTCCGCCCACTTGAAACAACGTAGTTTACCAAACAACAACGCAACAATAACAATTTGTTACGGGGGAATAGCCGGCTGCAGCGTCGTAATAAGGCAAACGGATCGGGTCAGATCGCTCAAGACGATAACCATCATCATACCAACCTACTGAAATATATTTTCATGGGGTCCTAAGATCCATATCGGCATCGACAGATTGAGCCAACTAGATTATCGCGATATGTATCGCGGTTTTTTTAGTTTTATTATCTTCACACCTCTTAACTGAAATGATGGATTGATTGAGAGTTAATTAATCTTTATCAGTTTTGGAGAAACACAATCAAGTCGGATAGTGCTGACTGTGCAAATGACCGGAAGGTTTTCTTTTGTCCGTGCAGTTTCCGGACCAAGTTCCAGGCCATTAAACTTCTCGGGGGATCTTGCGAAGAATCGGGGATTTAATGCTAATGAAACAGTAAGACGTCTGGCTTTTTTAGGTCAACTATTATACATATTAATGATAATAAAATGCCTAGGATGCGAGTGATGAATAAAAACACCTCCAGTCGCATTCTCCGCCAGTTTAAATTAAAAAAGAAGCGGCAAATAGTTCAATTAGTCTCTCTACACAACTCGGCTGTCATTTATTGCGACGTTGTAATCACATATTCAGCATATTAACACGACCGACTGGACCTCCGCAATTCCTCATAAAAACCGCGTTTCTTCTATTGTTTCGCCGACAGCAAGCCGCACAGTGATGCCTTGGCATTTTAAATGTATTCACATTTATTTTTTCGGCCATCAAATGCAATGACCAAGTGTCACCGCGCTTCCAGGTTTTCTTCTTTAATGCGGTTCAACCGCAAGGCAACAACAATAATTCGTCAGACGGCATTTGCATGCACCTCGTGAATTTTTGGCCCGACATTACTCATAATAAAACAAGGAAACATAAATATTCGTTTTTTGTTTTGATACAAGGACAAAAACCATTGTTAACACAATTTTATTTTTCGAGTATCTACATACAGAAGTGGAAATATGTGGAACAACTTTTTAAGATACACATACCTTGCTTAAAAATACATTTATAGTATTAAATATTTATTTTTATTTTAGTGAGTTTTTATAAGGATAATATTATTTTAGGGTGGTGAATGTAATATTTTGTATAGTATACTAGTTATAACCATTGTTTTTATAACAGCTTTACATCTCTTAGGCATTGACCAAATTAGTTTGGTGATAATCATTGGATCCATTATTTTAATAGGTTTTTCCTCTGATTTTCCGATCAAATATTTCCCAGAGGTTCTAAATTGGGTTAATATCAAGAGATTGTGATGGTCATTCTTTTTCTTTTCGAACCACTTGACGAACCGCATACTTTGGGTCATTGTCCTGTTGAAAAATGTGCCTAAAAGTCATAATTTTATCTGCATATGGCACCAGTTTATTCTACAAAATGCCCTTGTATTGAAACCTATCCATGTGTCCTTCTATTTTGTGATGTGGACCATTACTGACATTCCTCCATGCTGTGATACATGTGTATTTTGGGTTGTTTTTTCCAGTAGTCCTCTACCCAATGAAGATTTGATAGAGCAAATTTATGACGTGCATTTTTTGGATGAGAGAGATTTTTTGACTGGTATTCTACCAAATATAATTTATAGCTTTTAGTAATCTACCTCTTACAGTTCTAGAAGTTACTTCAACTCCAAACTCATCGTAAATAAGGCCTTTTATTTGATTGGATCCAATAAAATTCTTCATTCTTGGCAATCTTGCGATTGGTTTTTCTGGGTCTACCATACTTCTTTTTTTCCAAAACATTTCCAAACACTCAAAATTGCTTGGTACTTGTAAGTATTCTCTAAAAAGTTGCTCTACATTTTTCCACTACTGTACCTGATTTGAATAGTTTTGATCAATCTTTCATACTTTTTCATTGAAGAACAATCCCATTGTATCGCGCCTGTATTAATGATCACATTAGAAACTTTTCCAACTCCTGAATAAACTTGAGATATTGGATTTGACAGCGTCCAACTGTGTGCAAGAGGACACCATTCAAGCATCGCTGTCTTGTTAATTTTTAAACGTCGCTCGCCGCTTTTATTTACATAAATTATACCTCCGCATATACCGAGCGTCCAAAATCGACTGGGTGCTATAATTGACTTTATTTATTTTCGAAAAAGCTACCGGTGAAATGATTTCGACATCCCATTACCAGTTATTTGAAAGCAATGATTTATACTAATTGGAATCACTAGGGAATAACGCCTTAAGTCAGGTCAAAAAATCGTTTCATTCATAGGCCACTTTAATCATAATTCCTGTTAAGGCCGTATAAATCAAGTGGCTGCGCTGGGTTCGGTAGCTATTTTTTTAATAACGCCGACTTGCCATAAACACTGATTATTAACAATCATCTTCTAATGATGTGGAATCAATTTTAAAACAAATAAACGATTTGAAATTGGGTTAATATTTCCGAACGCCTTTGGGGCACAATCAAATCAAAATTAATACTTTCTAATAAAAATAATTCTGCGTTTGTGTGGTTAATGTATGGGCTTGTTATGTTAATTCGGACTTATATTAATGTAGTAGCTGTAACCCGTGGAGTTGGTTGGATAAGTGAACATTCTGTCGACTAGTTTGAGCCACCAAATGGGTTTTTATGATTTATATGGGCGTGGTGGCAAGACTTTTATGCATTTCTCTCAGAAATTGAATTGTTTTTGTTAATATCATATTCCGTAAAAGTAGACTGCTTGGCAGTTATATCACGTATTTTTTATTACAGTACTAAAGTTATTCGCCGCGTCTATACCTCCTTGTTTATGTCTTGTTTATATTTATTTAATTCAGAGTTTTATAGTTAATCGTAAAAATAAAATTAAGATTTTTATATTGGAAAGCCACTCAGGCTTTATGTCTATTTAATTGTTTTGGGAAATCGTTTGTCCCTAGACTTAGGTAAAACGATCTGTTACAAAATAAAAAGGTAATACGATCCGTATATTGTAAATCTTTTTTGTGCGGACCCGCCCAATGCACTTATGTGCCAAACAACATACATTCACAATGTAATTGCTCTAATCTGGTCGTGAAATCTAAACAGTAACCCCTAAGTCGGCATTTGCTCTATCATTAAGAAGCAAGATGACAAACATTTCTTTACTATTGTCCCCAAAAGTATCGCTTATCCCCAACAATAGCCACGACGTTTTTAGGGGTGTCTATCTCAGGACATGCATTGAAATAGTTACATATTATTATAGGATTTTCTTCCATGGTTGTATTAATTACATCCAAGTACATTTAACCATTGATACCTTGTATTTATTACTATACTTTAAAAGCTTGTAAATAGTAATTAATCACTTTCCGCAGCACAAGTAATTATTATACTTCACTGACTCGATAATTACGTTACAAAACATATAATTGTGGATAATATTAATACCATTCTTCCGTAACATTGAGATTGCAGTATATGTATTTAAAATTCAATAAAATCTCTGTATTTTGCAGTTCTGATTTCTATCGGATCTATATCACGATTCAGTGGGCCGATATCACTCTAAGCTATCATTAATTAAGGAATATTTCGAAAATACTGTAAAACCCCTTAAGCCTGTACACTGCTATAAAAATCAGATTTGTTAACATGAGTTTGTAAAGGTAATATGCAATTTTGTAAGCATTTTGTTAATTTTTAAGGTTACAGATTATTTTGTTGATGTTTAACAAATTCTTTAGTTGAAAAAGTACACGTGATTTCAGGCAGTCAATCAAAACATTTCCCACTGACAATACCCATCAACAAGTTCAACTGACTTCAGCGTCTGCAACTTATGTTTCTGCTTACTTTATTCTAATTAATAACAGGTTACAGTTTCTTAAAGAAACTAAGAAAATTGAATGTTTACCTTAATGTTTAGCCCGGTTTAGATTCCTTTAGGCCATATTAGTATCTGTGATGCAATTGCTGTGTGCAGTCCCGGTTGCATAGTATGTACCGATTGCGGCAAAGGCCACGTCGTTTGACGTTGTGGATCACCTGATGTTCTTACATCTCGCCTCTGTTGACTTAACAATATAAGCTTAGGGAGTCCTTTGTTTTGATTGTGTTCCACTACACCAAGTTGCCCGACACTGATGAGACCCAATATAGGTCGAAACAGCTGTCTGTCGGTATTTGAAGTTGGTGGAACGCATTCAAAACAAAAAACTTTGGCGAGGTGTAGGTTCAATTTTTTCTTATAGATTACAGTTGGTTGTAAAGTTAACATATGTGGACCTGTATTGAACTGTGTAATGTGTGAGAACATATGTTGTAAAAATCTTTCTTCTCAAAAGCAAACACTAAATTTGATATTCCCTTCCAGGTGAATAGACCGTTGACGATGAAGAAAGAAGGCATCCAAACCAGGAATCGCAAGCTCTCGTCGAAGAGCAAAAAGAAAAAATCCGGCGGATGCCTCTCCTTTGGCGGCATGATGGGAGACATGAAGCCCCTCGACAAGGGCGGTTTCGGGAGCGGCGGGCTTTCGCTGGGCGGCATAATGGGCGACTCCAAGGGTGGATTCGGGGGTGGTGGATTCGGATCGGGCATGGGCGGCGGCCATCCGCATTTGAACGCGGCCCTGCATCCGCACCACGCGATGAGTCATTGGTACCAACATAGCGGGCACCCGCAGGGTTTCGTTTCGGGACCGCCACCGTCTGCGCCGCCTCCGACCGCCTCCTATCATCACCACATGAGCTCGTTGAGCGCCGCCGGGCTTAACTTGGCTTCGAATGGAATGGTGAGTTGCAATATTATTTTTTAGTTCGAATATTCTAGTGTGCTATGTATAATTGTATAAAATATTTTTAAATTATCAAAAATTTTAAAAATTACCATAATTTTCAACAATTTTTAATTTACAAAATCTGGACAATTACCTACCAAAATTTAAAAAAATAAAAAATTAACAACATTTTATGAATTTACACAATTTTAAAATTCCAATTTTTTTAAAATTATAAGTTTACAAAACTTAAAATTCGTAATATATTCAAAATTTTTGAAATTACCTAAAATTAAAAAAAAATGTTTAAGTTAACATACTATATGGTATCTTTTTATTTGAAGAGCTACAAAGTTGGTTAAATTAATGGTTTTTAAATACTAATGAAAAATATAGATTAAATAATGTGTACGAGGTGTGTTCAGAAAATATTTTCGTTTTTTTGAAATAAATATTTATTTATTCGTCTACATTAATGTTGTAGCCTTCTCGATCTTTGGGATAGCCTTTAGTTCTTTCAGCGATGCGCTTTTAATGTCATCTATGCTTGCAAAACGACGGCCATTTAAGGTTCTCTTTATTTTTGGGAATAGGAAAAAGTCAGACAGAGATATGTCTGCCGAATATGGAGGCTGGGGCATCATTACAGTATTGTTTTTGGCCAAACATTTTGTTCAAAATTTAACAATTTTATAACAAATTTTGCTGCCACGCGTTTCATACCCAAAACGTTCGAAAAAATTTCATGGGATGAGCCAATCGATATACCAACATCATCAGCGACTTCTCTGATGGTTTATAACCATTTCTTCCACTTTTTCCATGTTTTTATCGGTTGTTAAAGTGCTTGTGCGTTCGGGGCGTTCGTCATCTTCAACGTCTTCACGGCCATCTTGGCAACTCTTATACCACTTGTAAATCTTGTTTTACTTATAGCAGACTATAGGTCTTTGTTAACATTTCACAGAATTTATTTAATTTTTTAAGCAAAATTTAATACAAATTCTTTGATCCATTTTTTTAACGAACGAAAAATCGCCGAACTCATAAAACACGTCTAACCTTAGCGGCTGCCACAGACAAAGTAAACAATGAAAACAGTTAAAGTTTTTATCATTCTTCGGGGGCAAATTTAACAATTCCCGTTATTTTCTGAACACACCTCGTATGTATTTAAGTTCGGTAACCCAAAATAACTGTTTTTTTATTAGTTTTTTTTTTGATTAGCTGGTTGGTATCTCATTCAATTTTAATTGCCCATTTTAAAAGAAAAAAACGCAACATTCACAATTTACCTGACAAAAATTTCAATATTTACAAAAAATTTAAATTTTGTAAATATTGAAAATTTTGGTAATTTTTTATTTTTTTATTTTAAATTTTTTGGATATTTTAAAAATTTACTAATATTTTTAAATGTTTAACATTTCCAAAATTCTCAATTTTAAAATTTCTGTATATCTCATTCAATTTTAATTAATGACAGCCATAAGAATATTATCCAAATATATTGCGATTCCGAAAAAAAACACAAGATTCACATATTACCAAAATTTTCAATATTTACAAAATTTAAAATTCTTAAATTTTGTAAATATTGAAAATTTTGGTAATTTTTTATTTTAATTTGTTTGGATATTTTAAATATTATAGGAAATTTAAAAAATTTCAAAATTTCTGTATAGCCTACAGTTTAAAAGTTATACTAAGTAAACTTCTTAAAATTTTTTTAACAACATTTTAACCCTATTTTTCTTTTTTTTCAGTCAAGTTGGAGGTCTGAATACAGAGCCGAGTACACGTGATAAACACGTGGTTAAAAGCCTTTAAAAGGAATTAAACATTGTAATAATCCTTGTAGATATAGTGAATAAGAATTGAATAAATAAGTGATCACAAATTAAAATATGACTGGTCAAAATTTCTCTGTAAATTTGTATTTATTGTAAGATATTTTGTAAAATACAGTTGTTCAGCGTTGTGGTGACCAGTTTTGTAAAATGTAAACTGCTCGGCAATGATGTATCATTAAAAGCGTTGAGCAGTGTATAATAAGTACAAAAATCGTTTGTAATGTATTGTATATAGATGTTAGATTTGTTTTTAAAAGAATTTTTTTAATAATGATGAAACTTGTAAATAGAAATTCAAAAACTGTGCAATCTTCACTTTATTATATAGTATTTATATGCGTGAAAGAGGTGATATATACTGATTTAAATTGAGTAAAATTTGTTCATTTTGAAGCTTGCTGCTAATTTACATTGTAAGTGTTAAAGTTTTACTCATGTCAGATTATATAGACTGCAAATTATTGTAAATACTTATTACATATATAATTTATAAAGTATGAAAGACCAATTTTATTATATTAAAAAGATTTTAAATATTTATTGAGTTTCTAGTTGTCCATTTAAGCTTACCATAGTTTTTCTTCGTACAGGAAAAATTATGATAAAAAAAAATTGAAAATGCCCGACACCTAATCGAATTAATAAATTGTGTAGAAACAGTACAAATTCGTCGTAAGTTTTAAAAACAAAATTCCCCAAAATACCCGTACAACTTGTAAATTTTGGGAAATTTTCGATTAACAAAAAACAATTTGATTGGGTGTAGGGCATCCGTGTCGCCATGTTAATATAATAATACAGTATTTTGTTAAATAATTTTAGAAAATTTATTTATTTTGGCATTGTATTTAAGTTTCGATCGATTCCACGATTCAAACACAAAATGTAATTGAACATAGTATAATTAAAATTTTCAAAAAATGTAAATAAAATTTGATGTATGTATATGCTCTTTGTGTGATAAATAAAATATTTAAATCTTATTTTTTCTGTTGTTTACATACAACCTTTCCTTAAATATAATTTTTAAATGGGATAAAAGGTAGGTACGTAAACCAAATTTTAATAATAATGTATAAAAGTTAAGTCACAAAATCAAAATTAACACAAATATTTTGATTTGTCCCATTAGCGTTTTATAAAACTTACATACATGTTTTTTTTTTAATATTGAATAACCAGAACTTTGTGTTGCTTTATAGCAATCCATAACATCCTTAGTTAATAAAGTAAACAATTTATATATAAATTAATTAATTTTAATCTACTTTTTTTAAATTTTTTCCGTTGCGTTACGTTCGTCGCGATAGAATATTTAAAAAAACATATATATGGCAACTTTTTTGGCACGCGAATGTAATAATTGTTTGTCCGCTAAGTTACTCAAAAAAATAATAAAAATAAGGTAAGAAAAAATACTATTTTTCAAGTTTATGTTTATTTTAGGGCACTAAAGCTCATTGAGAGTATTTAATGAGTGTAATGTTTTATTATTATTTTTTAAATATGGTTTCACAAAACTTTGTCTACTGCGTTACCGAGTCCATTACGTTACCTTATGGTAACGCAATGGAATTTAGGGTAACGCAATAGAATTTTTCGACAACAAAGTGGATATTTACCGTCGCTTTTATTAAAAGTAGTTTATGATAAACCAATTTAAAATTATTTGTGATTACAACTCATGATATAGATTACATCCAAGGGAAAATTCCACGCAATATACAAGTACTAAAAGACACCAGCTTATAGTCAAAGAAAAAGGGTGTCTATAATTATTATTATTCTGCAAGTGAACACCACTACAAGGGATTTTGTTTATGCATTACTCTAAAATCGTACCACCCTATATAGTTTCTTTTTTACGTTATCTGATTAAGTCCTTTGTGTACCCCAGTCCGTTGTGATACCAATGTCTATTTCGTTACTTTTTTTAGTTTTTGTTAAAAAAAAATCCTTAAAATGATTTTACTATCACTTGGTAATACCTGTTTATAAATTAGGGTTTAACTCACTAATACAGTGACTAAAAGAAAATATTAATGGTAATGTTTTTTTAACAAAGAATCGGAATGGTGTCTTTTAAAAAGTAACTTAACTAACATAAATATTTAAAAAAGGCATACAATTAATAAAAAATAAAATTGGAGTGAACTAAGTACATTTTATATCAAATTATTTTTATTGAATTAAATTTTGGATTTCAAATTGGTAACACACTGGGACATATAAAGCTAGCTAAACACATTTTTCTGAAAAAAACGTAAAAAAAATTAAAAAGTGCACTGCCTGTCTTAAATGTAAGTAAACAAAACTCTAAACATTTATAAAAATCCAACCAAAAGTCAATTTAAGCAAAAAAAATTTTGATCTTCATTTTCCTGAAAGCGGGTGTTTCTTGAAAATGACCCAAAATCAAAAAACACAGTTTGGTAAATCAGTGAGTAAATTTATAAACTATTCAGAGTTTTATAAAATAAAATGACCATTCTAAAAATTTCTCAAAACTGTCTAAAAAGTTTTTCTTAATACTGAATTAAACCGTGTCAACTATCTTGGTAGTTCAAAAAACTTGCAAAAATGTCTTAAAAGCTCCTTAAAGATGTTTTAAAAACTTACCTAAAACCATAATATAAACCATATATATTTAAAAATAGTAAAAAAACAACATTATGTTATGGGCTGCCTCAAAGTGCCACTTTGGGACCGTTATTGACCCATCGATTTAATGGAGGTACCTTCAGCAGTTAATTTACTCGAACAAATCGAATTAATAATATGAATTGAGTGGAACAAATTAATAGAAAACGAGTTTACCTATTAATTTACCTCAATGAACCGTAAAATTTTATAATAGGGATATCGAATTCTTGTTTACATTTAAATGAACCACCAAAACTTTGAAACAATATCTTAGGTTTAATTGAATTCTTACAACATATTATATTTCGTTATTATTCCAGGCATAATTTTAGATCTGTGTTTTAGGCCTTATACATTAAACAGATTTTTAAAATTTGTTATTTCTGGATGTTTTTGCTAATATTCTAGCCATGCACAGTTAAAAATTTATAAAATTTGTGTTAAAAATAAGGCGTGTTAAATAAACATTAATGTGTTAAAAGGTCCTACACAAATAAGAATGTTAAATAATATTTTGTTTATACATTGTAGTATAATAATATAAACAAGTGTAATATAAGTCAAAAATATTGTTTAAATATTTGAGTACAGAAAATTTTGAATCAAATTAAATTTTTTTATTCAATTCAACTTAAATATAAATGTTATTCTTCTAATTCGCTAATTTTTGCCTTCTTTCGATTAAAATCGGTACCCTGCAAGGCCCTTTGTCTTCTAACCGCGTTTATTCGGTTGATGATAGTTAATTCGATTAGAGGTCCTAATTGTAAGGTAAGTGTGCTTTTATATAGCGTGTGTTTAAGAAAATTTAAAGGTAAGTTTGCTATGATAATATTTTTTTAATTACGTTTGTATCCCCATAAATTTTTGAAGACCGTTTACCCTGTGGCATGGATTTGTATTTTATTTTGGAAAAAAGGACTGGACTGTGAAATTTTAGTGAATTCCAATGCTTCATTGCTGGAATTTTTAAAAAATTATGTTATAAATCATTTTGCTCAAAACCCAATTTTCTTATATTAATTTAAATATTTTATTAAAATAAATAATTAATAATTTAAAAATTAATAAATATATTGTTAAAACAAATTAAAATAAATAAAATATAAATAAATTTAACATATTTAATTATGTTAAAGTTATACAGATTTTAAATCATATTAATTATTAGTTTAGGTTAAAATAACCATTAAAAATAAATAAAATTGACACAACACGATTTGTTTAATTAACTTTGCAGTTATGAAAAAAAATAACTTACATTAATTTTCTTTTAAACATTCTGTTGTGTTAAAAATTAACATAAGTAATGTGTTAAAAATGAACACAAGTAATATCCATGGATATTCTAAACCTGCGTCTATTAGTTTTTCTGCGCTTCCAGGGTTAATTCTTCTTTCAACCTTAACCTACAAGTTCTCAATTGGATTAAGAAGGCCACAATTTGAAAAAAATGTCATTGGTGGATTCAGTTTCTGGACACCCTGTATATACAGGGTGTCACCAAATAAGTTGTCATCCATTAAGGGAATGATAGTACACGCCACAACAATAAGTTTTTCCTTGAATGAATAATAAATATCATTGTTTTTAGAGGTAAAAACAATGATGATATACATATAGGATAGGTCATTGACATAAAGTTAGGTGACACCCTGTATAACTAATAAGCTTAACAGATTAATACCTATAGGTCCTTAGGACATTTTAAACATACCTTGGTGGCTTTTAAGTTAGGTACCGTAAAAACAAAAATATTAAATTTAACTATTTTAAAAAATCTCAACATAAAATGGTCTATCCATTTTATCCGTGTGACAAACGGTCTTCGATTTTTTGAGAAATAACTTTTGTTACATATTTGACGCTTGCGATATACGACATATAAGAAGAGAAGCAGGGATCATCATCACTGACCAGTGGTGTGTTAAAAGAGATTTAGTCATGCAATATTCTCGATAGTGTAAGTAAGTGGACCTCACACCTCACTGCCCCATCCAGTTTAAGGGATTTCCGAATAGATTGATTTTAAGGATTTCTTCTAAGGCCATACAATTTATAAGTATCACCTCACGGATTTATTGAAAAACGATTTTCTTTTGATAGTGTGATTCAGGATGTATTGGATGAATACATGATTAATTCCTTTGTTAAAGTGAATATAGGATTAAATTTTTTTGGAATAAATTGAATTAATATAATTCTATACCTGGGTTTGCAAATTCTCTTAAAACTATCTAAAAACTGGTTTAAATGTCTCAAAACTGTAATTTCAACATTGACTTTTATATTGGGTTTTAACAGTTGTTAGTCAATTTCAATCTAAACAGAAAAATTTGACAAGTGGGTCGTTTTCAAAAAACACCCGCCTTCCGCTGTGCGTAAGTTTGAATTCCAATAACTTTGTTAAAAATTATCGGATCTTATTGATTTAAAAACCAAGTGAAAGCCTAACAAGCTCTTAGTAACCTTTTTCACAAAATTTTTGTTTAGTTATTTCAGAATAATTTTTTTTTAATTTTGAAACTTGTGAAACACACATTTTCGTCCCATTAGCGTTTTATAAAACTTACATACATGTTTTTTTTTAAATATTAAATAACCAGAACTTTGTGTTGCTTTATAG